AAACTCCGTGTTGCGTAGACCACGGCCTTGCCCAACACAAGTTATAAATTCGGGCACCGCCGGGAATCGAACCCGAGACCCCAGGATTACAAGGCCAGCGTTCTAACCGCTGGTGACATGACTTCTATAACTGAAAAATGAAGTTGTCTAAACAACATAACAGCATTTCATTATTGTTTTTTGTTTCTTGGATCTAAAACCCACTGTGGGTCTTCGCCACCTCCTTTTTGGAGGTTTCCTAGTCTGTGGAGTGTGCATTTGTATGTAGCGAGTGACAAGCCCACTGTCTCTGCACAATTTCTACTCAATCCTGATTTGACTGCCAGAGCCATCTAGCAGTGAATCAGGGGACTTGGGCGAGAAATGGCCGCTGATTTTTGCTTACGAAACATCTCTTTTCAAGCCCGTAAGGTTCTCTTACATGCCGTAAATCTACAACATGGGACCGCCGCGTTTACTTCCCCTCCGAAGGAAGTTGTTCTACAAATTTTTATCATCCTTTAAAAATAAATCGACCGCAGCCGGGTTTGAACCCACGAACCTTGGGTCCAGTGGCGAGCATGCTATCCGTTAGTCCACCGAGGGCAACAACAATCTTTTATTAATAATAGTCATTTAAAAACTGATAGGTCAAGAGACATTTCAATATACATTGTACGTTACATACGGAATTTACTGAAAAGTCTTCAGTAAAAAGTCAAGGTCCTCTTAATCTATGCTCTTCTGTCAACAATCGTTTTCCAATAAACAGAATCAGCAGAAAATTTAGAAAACAACATTTAAAATGTATGTTCACGCATGTCCGTGAAAACTGTGGTCCCATTATGTCTGCAAGAACAAGATCACTTACCTCACTCTCACATTCATTGAACAAATCATTCAGAAAACAGTGTGTAACGTTTTAATGCATGTCCTTCAAAACTATTTTGTGTTAAGGACTCAAACGTTTCACATGCCGTGGTAAATGTAATAGTTGCACCCTGGAATGATAAATTTAATTCCTCTATCTTTGTAACAATGTCACCTAGATATTAATAAGATCTTCTCAGGCCATCAGCCGTGTCAGATGATTAAAACTTGATGATGTTTCGAAGACCATCTCTGTCCTCATCCTCGGTGCTAGTCTTGAGGAGCCCTGAGGACGACAGTCCTCAAAACATCAGCAAGTTTTAATCATCTGACACGGCTAATGACCTGAGAAGATCTTATTAATGACAGCTGCTGTGATAGCTTCACAGTATAGATCAACTAGGTATGCTAACCTCTGGAGCAACGCAGTATCACAGACATGACGTAAGTGTGAATAAATGAATCAAAACTATGCCTCGTGATAATCACAAGACATCAGCACACAGCCGCAGCACTGTGTAACTGCTACCGATTCCTTCACAAAGAAAAATGAAAAAATTTTAATCAAACTATCTTAATTTTATAAAATTTACAATCTTCATATCCTTTTCCAACACCATTCTCAGTGCGCTTGGAATATTTTTCACAATAGCTTAATGACAAATGATTCAGTGAGTACCAGTGCGATCTGGTACAATGAAATCGCTCAGTGTGCACCGTATCGACACACTGTTTCTAACAAAGGCCCTTTTCAGCCACATACAAGTCAGTTATATTGAAAATATCTTCTCTAGTAAGCGTAGGCAAAGGTTTTTACATAAGGATTTCTCCTTCAGTACGACTATTGACATTATCAGCAAATGTACGGACTTAATAGCTCGATTCTTATGATGTTTACACACATTTCCATTTGTACCTTTAACAACTGATGACACATTAGACCAAGAATTCTTCACTTGATCACATTAATTAAAAAAAAACACAAGAGGTACGACTCTAATCGACATGCACTGGCCAATGCAATTTTGCTGGAACCATGAAACCGTCTCACAAAGTTTAATATAATATGAGCACTAACACTGCTTTATGAAAACTAGGCGTGAACTGGCAAAGTATATCAGAAGAAGTGTCATTCAGTAGTAAGTTGAACCAATGTCATCAAAATATTCTCACACGTGCATGCCAACTGATATATATTAACGCATCAGGAACGCACACCAAGTCCACCTGGAGGTTGATAATTTTGTTTCCACAAACTGCTATGGTGTGACGCAAAAGAGTAACGAGGTAATGTACAAAGTTAACTACATTTTTGTGATATAAAGGGAATTTTAAAACGAATTATGCCACCATTAGCAACGGCATTCTCTTGTAGGACCCTTACAATTATATTTTGGACACAGTTGAGAAAGAAATAATTGTCTATACATACATATACCATATGAATCTCTATAGAAATCAATATATAAACAAATAAAATCCCACATAAAGTTCAATGAAGTCAAGTTCAAGCTCAGCTGTAATAAATATTATCTGTTAATATTCAACAAGTAAAATCACAATTAATTTATGATAAGATAACCGTCTTCTGGGATGTTGCGCCGAGTAATCCGGTAGAAGTATACCGACATTTCAGAGACAGTCAGTGTCTCTACCAGATTGCACCGCACAACATCCCATATTCAATACCGTTAAGAACCTGATATCTTACCAATTCATAAAACTTAGAATATATTTACATAACAAAGTTGACATGGAGTAAAAACAAAAAAATTTTCTAGATCTGAAACCTTCAATACCGCAATTCTTTCAAATATATTTCACTGCACTGGACGTAATAAAAGTATGTATGGATAGAAGATTTTAAGCACTTACATGTCCTCCCATAGACATCCCAGTAACACCAAGAGGACCAAATCCGTTGTTTTCACACCAGTGAAAGAGAACCAGAGACTCTAATATAAGGCAACCGCCCATCACAATGATGTCTGTGACGTTGTGGAGACTCGAACGACTTTCAAAAGATATAAATCAAAATAATACTTAAAAAAATTAACAAGAGGTGAAAGGAACACACCAATCTGGCACACACTGGATTATGCGTTATTTTCATGCACTTTCGTTCAAAGAACTCAAAAAGCATTAAAGAGTCTGGATGATTATTTTTTTCAACTGAGACAGGAGTCAAAAAATACCGAATGATCTTCAGTCCACTGTTAATACAGTCTGAAGTTCAATTATCATTCAGCACCAAAGCAACTTGAACACGAGTTTATGTAAATTCATAGAAGGTTCTAACGGGTATGGGGACCTTTCCCTGGGGGTAAAGCGTGGCCAAGGAGCGATGATAACCACTCACCCCCCTCTCACTGCTCAGATCAAGAATGTGAAGTAGCTATAATTCATCTCCCAAGTGCCATGGTGTGTAATGGGAGAGCTTTACATTTCATGTAATGAATTTCTTATTAAGTAGGATTTGAGATTTTCACAGGAGTGAGTCTGAAGATGGCTGTCTTCTGGGTCGCTGCCTCCATCATCAGGGTGATGAGGTTGGTAAACTTCTACCAGACCACATGGCGCAACAACCCACCACTCCTCCCAAGACAGATATTTGTAGCTAATTTTAGAGCCTTGATTGACCATGATTACCTACAGAAGCACGTTCACAGAATCAGACTTTCGAATACACAGACGTGTTCCATCTGCGAAAAAGGCATCATGGATGCTTATCATTTGGCAATACGCGGGTGCCGATCAGAAAGAAAAGACTTGCTAAACTACACAGAACTTGCAACTTGATACCGGTCGGCTAATGAATTAATGGTCGAGAGGCGGCTTAAAACCGGCATCAGATAAAAAACACTAACCAGAAGCCAGCCATCTTCAATTTATCAGTTTTTCATCTTTATTTGTATTCATTGCATCTTTTCAAAAGTTCCTACAAACAATGAACTCTTCCGAATTTGGATTTGATGAAGGACAGAGATTTTATTCATCATATCAAAAATAAAAGGTTATGTATCACAATACTGGCAGCATAAGGTAGAGTCGCATGCCCTATTCAGGTTCGCATACCAAAGACATTCCATACAGGAAAGTTCTATTGCTTGTACACTGGACTTCTGGATCTCCAAGCTAACAAATTTGTTCTTTGGTACACACATTTAGTTAGATTACCTAGGCTCAAGGAGTAGATGTCTGTAACTTCAGGCTTCTTTTCTAGGCCCATGCACCGTCCCATGTTATGGACACAAAAATTTTCCTCACACTTCAGTCACACAATATAACGTTTCAATATCACTTCTTAGATGCTATCAAATGTAAGTCATGCACCAATTTCACTAATTTTAGACTGTGAAAGAAATTAGTGCCTTAAAATCGAGGACGTGCACTAATAAACGAGTGAGACTTGGATACAGAACTGGCACAACTGATAAAGTTATTAAGGAACAAATAAAAGTAACTGGGCAGCGGACAGGTGTAATAAATTTTGTACACGGGGACTGGTATTTACTTTACTCCATGAAACGACATCACCGTAAAATGAATACCGTACGAGATGGTACCGTTATAGAAGTCCGTAAGAACAGGTACACACTCCACAACTTTACCATTTCTTTACCCACAAAGACCTAACTAAAGTATTTCACCATAACCAATTTCATACAATAACAAATAAATACATACAGAAACATAAAAAAGTTCAATTTATTGTCATCCCCCACGCCAATATTGGTGGTTGACGGAGAGTGGTTCTGTAAATGGGATTAGACTGTTCTTGTTAGCCGTTATACATCTACATACAGGCTAATGTCAAATTCCAAAGGTTCAAAATTGATGAGATCACTGCGGCCAAAAACTACAGTGGCCAGATCACTGTACTATCACAGCTATTTCAATCCCAGTGAACTGATATGGACTCATTAAGGGAAAGCAGCCGACCAAGGCATAACCTCCACCACTACAGAGCTCATTTTTCCTCTTGCACAGTGTCAGTGTAGCAAATTTAACAGTTTACTTCTGTTACGTTTTGTGATTAAACACTCGTCTACAGTTTTAAGTACCACAATTGTAATATTTATGTGAATAGTCAAAGTCCGAGTCATGTTACAAATGATGTACGGTCAGTCAGTCAGTCAGTCTGTCTGTCTTGGTGTCAAGTCCGTTGGGACTCATAACCAGGTTTTAACTCTTCCTGAGTAGAGAACGTATACGAGGTGCGATCGAAAGGTTTCCAGACTGCGCATATAAACACCCGTACACTTATCTCAGGTATTAAATTCATCCATCACCCTCGAAGTAGTTCCCCTGGGAGTGAACACAACGATCCCAGCGCCGCTGCCAAGCCTGGAAGCATCCCTGGAAAGCTTTCTTTGTCAGCCTGTCAAGCACCATCTGCGACCTCGTATACCTTAAAGACTGGACTGGATTTCTCAGACTTGATAAGCTGAGCGACTGTTAGCTTTCCAAAAACCTTCGCTCCATGGAGTTAGACAAATAAATAACTATCCTTTCCTTTCGTTTGTGGTTCTTAAAATCAAATTAAACAGATTTAATTTAAGAAGGCATTATCATGAAGACTTGTATCGTAAATATATTATTTTAACTTTTCACAGCGTATTTACAATAATTAGAACATCTTTCCACCTGGGACGGCGCTGGGATCGTTGTGTTCACTCCCAGGGGAACTACTTCGAGGGTGATGGATGAATTTAATACCTGAGATAAGTGTACGGGTTTTTATAGGCGCAGTCTTGAAACTTTCCGATCGCACCTCTACATATAGGCTAATGTCAAATTCCAAAGGTTCAAAATTGATGAGATCACTGTACTATCACAGATATTTCAATCCCAGTGAACTGATATGGACTCATTAAGGGAAAGCAGCCGAGCAAGGCGTTATGCCACTACAGAGTTCATTTTTCCTCTTGCACAGTGAGTGTCAGTGTCAGTGTAGCAAATTTAGCAGTTTACTGCTGTTACGTTTTGTGATTAAACACTCGTCTATAGTTTTAAGTACCACAATTGTAATATTTATGTGAACAGTCAAAGTTCGAGTCATGTTACAAATGATGTACGGTCAGTCAGTCTGTCTGTCTTGGTGTCAAGTCCGTTGGGACTCATAACCAGGTTTTAACTCTTCCCGAGTAGAGAACGTATATATCCGCAGCCTACAAAAACATTCAATAAACCAATTTCTCTGCCATAAGAAGTTGCCGTAAATCATGGCAGATAACGCTACAGTTCAGAAGATGTATTTGTACTAGTACCAGAGTGTAACAGATGTCAGGATTTTTGTATTACGATGTTGTTCGAAGCCACGGTTCACTGTATGTGCATATTCAGGTTATGCGACATGTGCCTGCTCTTGTTTTTTTTTGTGTATTTATGAGAGATGGCAAGGAGAGCAAATGACGATAAAATATCATCTATCTCAGACATTAGAAATAAAAGTACATCAGCTATTAATTCTAGTGACATTTACCACAAAATAAGTTATGCTGATGCCAATGAGAGCAAAAATGGTACAAGGAACAGTGTAACAGGAGTGACAGAAGTAAGTGATTTGTTTCAGGTTACTGGTACAGACTCTGGACCAAGCAGAGGAACTTCAGCAAAAATACTAGACGTAAAGCAGCTGTACCATCAAGTTTTGACTGGAAAAATCCTAGCCGATATCAAGGCACTGCTTGGTGTCTCGATAAACCTGGGCCTGCATCCCATGTCGGATGTTACTCACTATTTCTCTGAGGCATGGGTGAACAAAATGCCTTTCTTTTCTTTTGTGTGTAACCAAGGGACAAGTCTCCGTCCTTGTTCTGGAACCTACATTTTGCGCTTGCTGAGGAACAGGGCAGAATGAAAAGGGAAGAGCTGATAAAATCTGTACTCGACGACATCACATCAAAGTGCACGCAGCGTAGCTCACCCAGCACCGCTGCTGTTTCTTTCAAGGGGACGGTGTCTCTCAAAATATACAATTCCATGAAGCCAGTAAAGTTTGGGCTGAAAATGTTTGTAGTATCTGACAGTATGAATAAACTGGACCCTGATCTACTGAACGCTATAGAAGCGGTAAAAGAGAGTTGTGTTCTACTCTCGTGAAAGATCCCATCTTCTGGACGTCGTGTCTATACTAACGTCAGTCTTGTGGAATCCGTAGTGCATGAAAGAATGTCTAATGGTGGGAGAATGCACAGCGTTAAGCGAGGCAGATCGTGCAGAGGCCCACCTGAAGAAAGGCTGAATAGTGAACCCCACTTTACGGAGAGAAAAGAAAAAGGTTGTGTTGTGTGCGTATTAACGCAAGACTTGCAGCAGAGAGCCATTTTACACCCAGATAAGTGCTTTGAACTGTAACACAAAGTCGATAGCTTCTGTTAGAATTTCTGAACGTACAGCAGCGGCATATTGCATGCCCTCTACTGCAGAGCCATCGGACCATCAGTTTTCAGTTACAAAGTTTAATTACAATCATAAAAATTGTTTTAAAAATGTGAAACAGAGTAATTGTGCCGACTTGTGACTAAGCAGCGATTCATTTATGGGGAAGGCAAAAAAACTTCCAGTGTGCATGGTGTGTTCCTCAGGTTGCAGACATGGAGGGTAGCTGTACATATGTTGAATAAGCAGTTGCGGACAGCCGCCAGGGGTGGCCCTCCAGCTTGAAGGTTGGGCAAGTGGCTTATAACGCCTTACCATAAAATAAAGCATGACACAAAATGTTACACACGACTTCAAATTTGGGACTGTTGATGGTTTTTGTGAACACGGTAATGAACCCTTGGTGTACAAAAAGTGGCGAGAGATTTCTTGTCCGGCTGAGGCAACTAGCAGCTTCTCAAGAATGGTTCTGCTCCATGTAGTACGTTAGCTATGGGTATAAAAAAGAAACTTAGGATGGGTTAAGTCACAAGTTTTAATATTAGTCTTGTCATGGGGTACCCTCTGTGATGAGTGGGCGGGGCTGTCATTTGTCATCATGAGAACAATGCTATCGAATCTGTATTTATACGCAAGCAACAAACTCGGATCACGAGGTTATACGTCTCACACAAACACCGAGTGCAGAAGAAAGCTCTTAAATTTCCTTGACCCCACTTCCCACAGGAGTTCTTTCTACTGCCTCAATACAGATGAAGATGAGAGACAGCTTCACGCTCCAACCACTCCAACAGACACAGTCCGCAGCACCCACCAAACAAGACTGCATGGGCCTCAGATGGACGTAAGGTGTAAGGCACACAGAGTTCTATTAAATTGCATTGAAGCAATATGCTTTACAGCTGCATACTCACACTTGATCTTTTGGTTTACGAAGACCATAAAATGGATTTTCTAGGATGATTGATGCTATCCCTCCTTCTTTAAGCAATGGCTTTGCCATCATCTGCCTTCTCCTCCAGAAACCCTTTCAAATGAGATAAAAAGAACAAAAAATTAACATCTAGCATTAAATGCACATAAACATGACACAGAGACTGGACTAACAAATCTTCTCATTGTCTACGAGATACAGGCAAGGTGTGACGAAAATCTGGTCTTGATTCTACTTCAAATTAATTAATTAATTAAAATTAATAATGATACATAGGTAAATAAATAAATAAACAAACAAGTAATGAGTAAATAAAATAAAAATTCATCAATAATTATATGAAACTTATGTTGTTGTTGTTCCTCAGATCTACAACCCACTGTGGGTCTCAGTCACCTCCTTTCGGAGGTTTCTTAATCTTCGAAGTGTGCATCTATGAGTACCGAGTGACAAGCCCACTGCCTCTGCACAATTTCTACTCAATCCTGATTTTGATTGTGAGGGTGATTAAGTCGAGAAGAGTGAGATGGGCGGGACATGTAGCGCGCATGGATGG